GGGGAGGGGGAGAGGGGGCGATAAAGATGACAGATGTTTGAAAGGAAAGAAGGAGCAAACCACATCAGAGCATCCACCAACCACCACAGACTTCATCCAAAGTATGGGCTAAGAGTATATTAAGTAAAGAACAAAGTATTTTCATAAACATGCTGAGTCAGCAGTTTATAACAATTCTTAAAAATTTTTTTTTTTAAATAAAGAAAATCAGATACCGCAGAGTCAAGACAGCAAAACTACACATTTGCGTTTCATCAGAAAAAAGATTTGGAAGATTGTCTCACTGTATTTTGGTGGGTCAAAGTGTATCTTTCACAGAGCTTTCTTTGAGAGGGAGAAAAAAATCGAAAATTCTCAAAATTTGGACTTTAATGAATTGCTTGCAACAGCAATGACAAGTGACCTAGTTCTGACCTGCACACACACACACACACTGACACACATCCATATATGTGACCTAGTTCTTTCCTCACACACAGACACACAAACACATGTGCAAAAACACACAAACATACAGCCACACACATGACTTAGTTCTGACCTGTAAACACACACACGCACACACCCACTTATCCACCCACACACACATAGACACACATCCACACATGTGAAACCCCCCGGAGCGGTGCAACTGCCATTCCCAAAGGGGGGACATTTCTCGTTCTAATGCACAGTAAAATTGTAAATGGGCTGATTCATCAATGTCACGCTCATAACTGTGCCTGATCTACAACAGGGAACTGCTGCTTTTTCTTTCCTAATCCTTACTATTGTCATTGTACCTCTACTTCTTTTGTATGTTTGTCACACTCTTGTGACCCATTATTTCCGGGGTGCCTTGATAGTCGAAGCAGACTTTGTGCTGTTGAAGCTAAAGAGGTGAGCAGAGTAAGTCTGATTCCCTGGAACGACTTCTCTGTTGACATTGACCCCTTGGCGCTCATATGACCTTATGCAGTTGCGAGCGCCGTAAAACCTCTACTACAACAAAACAGAAACACATGTGACCTAGTTCTGACCTGTGTACAATCCCGATGGCCTTGTGGATGGCCACCCGCCCACTGCCCTCCTTGGACATCCCGTCTCGTTTGTCCTTCGAGTACATGTTCTTCTCCGAGAAGTTGCAGCCCGCAAAGTCAAAGTGAGCCGTGTTCATTGAAATCAGCTTGGGGTACAGCATATTTTCCACCTGCAGAGTGAGGAGAACTCTCATGATGGCAAAACCTTTGCCAAACAAATGAAATAATGATAAGCATTGAAATTGCAATAACTATTTTGAAGTGTTATTTACCAGGAGGAGCAGGAGAAGAAGAAGAAGAAGAAAAAGGAGAAGAAGAAGAAGAAGAAGAAGAAGAAGAAGAAGAAGAAGAAGAAGAAGAAG